TCATGGGCATCAGAGTCATAGACCTGCCTTCAGACCCTGCTTTTGAGATTTACGGTTTAACCTCTCAGCACTCTCCTGTCCAATCTTCTATGATTTCATCAATAAATACTAAGTGCCTATTGTATGCCATGCTAGGTCCTGGGGCCTGTGCCATTCAGACATTGACTCTGCCATACATGGAACTTATAGCCCAGGGGGCCACCGGATGAGAACACGTGTTCCCTATGTGCACAGTGGGAAAAACCCCTCCTTGCTGGCATGGTGAGCATCGGGTTAGTGTATAAGCCACCTTGCAGTGTGCACAGCAGACTAGAGATGCTAAGCAGTGCTGACTGAAGATTGAAAGGCTAGAGTTGAGTAATAGACCACAGGATATTGCAGGAAAAAACTTCCGTTCAATAATCATGGGAGATCCATGCATTATTTAAAGTGTGCAAGGAGGCAGTTTGTAACATTCAAAGTCAAAATGGAAACCAAAGAAAGTTTTGCTCCAATCTCCTAAATATGAGCCCCTTCCTCCTAAGCCCATACATGGGAGTCTAAAAATTGTGTTATAGATTACATGGCCCTATACCATGGGGCAGGGAGAGGGGTTGGCCATTAGGCAGCTTATTTGGGAGCTGATTCTTTGGTCTTTTGGCCGGGCACACATGGGCAACCTGGCTGTGTCCAGAGCACGCTGCCTCCTCCTTCCCCTCACCCTCACATGTGATTAGTAAGTAAGACACTTTTGGGGATTCTTATAGTCAGTATATGCAAAATTTAGAAGACACATTCCAGGGAGCTAGACCTGCCATGTGTATATTTATATACGGAGGGGAGCCAGTGTGGAAAGAACATGGTTTTCTGAGTCATAAGCACTTAGAGTCAAATCCAGCTTTGTGACCTTGGCAAGTTAATTAATCTCTCTGAGCCTCAGTTTCCCTAACTTTAAAATGAACTGATAGTGAGGGCAATTGTGAAGGCATATGTGCACAGCCCTCTCTCTCTCTGTATATATACTTGCATACACACACACACTTGTACATATTATATCCAGATGTATATATACATAACTATATGTGAATATATAAATACATATGCACACATGTACATAGACATGTACATATCTATATGCATATAGATATAGGAGATGTGTATGGACACATACACGTACATGGCCTACTGCAGTGCCTGATACCTGTGAGGGCTTCCTTGTATTGATTATGTGGCAGGTTCCATGTAATCATCTGAAGAATAGTAACTGTGGGGTCTCTGGATCCATCCTCCTACCCCTCTCAAAAAAAAATTCTTTCATAGCTACTTGGTACCATTATTGGAATTCAGACACCAAACTGTCTCCCCATATGCCATTTAACTGGGTACCAAGAAAGGACATCAGACACTGACAACAGATGCTGTTGTAGCCCAGAGAAAAGGCCCCCTGCTGGTCCAAGCCCCACCCCCCAGCCCAGCCTTGAGCATCTCTGTTCTGGTCTCTCACTCACATTTTGAAAGCCAAGAGGTCAGAGGCACAAAGCTAGGTTTCTGGGTCACCTACCCCCTGTGGATTTTCAAAACTTCTACTCTTTTTTGTCTTGAAATGAATGTAAATCTGTCCATTTGAAACCATATGGCTCATTTCTGCCACTTCTGTCCTCTAAGAGGGCAGCCAGGGAGCTTCAGTAGGGAGGTTTGTGAGTCACCTACTAACCTAAGCCAAATACTCTGAGCAGGGGTCCTAAACATGGCCAAGCCCTGGGATCACCTAGGCTGCACATTAAAATGCTGCACCCCAAGCAGGCCACATGGGGATTTCAGGAAAGGTGTGTGAAGGGGCAGTGGAAGCTGTTGTCTTACCAACTCTGCCAGGGCTTCTGATGAATGGCTGGCACTGGGACCCCACTGCTCTACAGCCGGGCCAGCTCTCTGGGGTGATCTGCTAAAAAAGGATAGATTCCCAGAAGGGCTGCTGGCTGGACTCATCAAAGGCCACCTTCATTTTCTCCACTGACTGGGATCCCTCTTCCCAGGGATTGACCCCACCTTCCTCCTGCATTCCCCCTGCCCCTTCCCCTTGCTTCTGACAAGGGAAGAGAGAGAGGAAGAAGAGCTAAGACTGAGTGCCCAATATATGCCAGGCCCTGGGCTAAGGGCTCCACTCATGGTATCTCATTTCATCTCAAAGTCCAATAATGTCTGGTGGCATTTGGGCTGAGGACACTGAGGACTGAGAGAGTGTAAGTCACCAGCTTTCATGGGCACACTTGAAACTGAGTCTAACATATTATGACTACAAAGAACAGGTTCTTTCTACTAGACCCTGTGAGTGACAGAGCAGACATGCATTTCAAACCGGGTCCTCTGATTGCTCTGGGAAGGACTTGAAGCAGGGAAACTAATCAATAGGATCTTGTATTAAGTAGAACTGCTTGTCCCATTTCATTGCATAGTTGTCCTCTTAGGGAGTGACTATTATTTCCCCCATTTTACAGGTGAGAAAACTGAGGTTCCAGAGGATTGAGTGATTTCCCGAAGGGCACCAAGCTAACATGTGGTGTTCTAGGCGTCTGGCTCCTGAGCCTCTAATCTTAGTCACTGTGCTGCCTCTTAACCAAGGTGGTGGTCTCCAAGATGGAGAAAAGGCAGAGGTGTTTCATGGTTTAAGAGAGAATTGCCAGGACTTGGTGACTGATGAGGGAGAAAAAGGGGTCAAGGGCAACACTAGATTCTGGTTGGGTAACCCATGCACCAAGCCTCTTTCACCTCTGAGAGGGAGTATGAGACGGGGAAGTTGTTCGAGCAGGGAGGGGGAGCTAGTGAATTTAATTGGGGGCATATTGATTTCTATATACCTGTGGGATTACCAAACCAAATTTGTGTGGACTCAAGAACTAATCATAATTCATCCATTCACTTAACAAATACTTAGTGGGTGCTTAATTTGATGCTAAATGAAAATGTTGTGTGCCAGGCCCTGTTCATGCACTGACCAGGTGGCCCAGCATAATTTCCAGGCTAAAGCCTGCTACTGAGGAAGAGAATCTTTCTTATCATGTTTAGTTCTGATATATTCTCTCATATTATCCTGTTCTTCCCTTCAGAATTTCCGCTCACATCAATCATCAGTTATCAATCACAGATGACAGAATGTGGCTAGAATGACATTTCCCCCAAGCAAAACCACAGATGCGTGACTGCCATTGTGTTACAAGGAACCTTCATGCTAACTCAGGGTCTCCACGTCATGGGGGAGCAGTCCAGAAGACTTGGAAATTCTCATCTTTTTGCCCATCTTTTCCTAAGTGTCTCCTCTTGCCAAATCCAGTGCCAGAGATGAGAAAGGTGAGGAGCCTGCACTTTGGGAGTGCTCAGCCTGGGGAGGGGAGGAAGCTACACCCCTGATAAGGGGCAGAGATGGGCTGCCTTGCAAAGGGATGCTGATGAGGGGTCGAGGCTGACAGTAAGCAACCTGAAAACCCACTGATCCAGTATTTAAGTGTGCCCACCGGTGATGCCTATCATGTGGTGAGTAGAAGCCACACCCATGAGCTGTGTGATGCTGGGCAGGTCACTTTACCTCTCTGAGGCTCACTTCACCATCTGTAAATGGAAATGTGATGCCTACTTTGTAGGGACAATATGGGGATTCCATAGGAAACCGTTGCAAAGCACTTGGCACAGAGTAGGTCCTCTCCTTCTGTCAATCACTTAGGGGTTCTTGATAAGTAACAGCTTCCCATTCCAGTGATGCTTATAAATCCATGTGACCTTCTGTAAGTTTCTGTGGGTATGTATGTAGGTGACTTTTTGTATTTTTATATGGGTATGTTAAGTCTACATAAGACTATATATATATTAGACTAATTTTCTGCAAAAGAAGAATGAATTAGATTTGCACTGGTGTGATTTTTTTTCACATAGATGTACAACATAGTTCTGTTTCTCAATATTTTATATTTCTATTGAAAGGGCTATAACTTCAGGGAGACTTCCCAAAAATCATCCATATTCCCTGGACATGAGCACCCCTCACTGTATCTTTCTGGTTGCCTCTGCCCGCTCACAGCCACATTTTCCTATAGTGCACAATGGTCTGCCCACGGTTTTGTTTTGAGCCTTTTGCACTTAACCATTTCACAAGTGGTCCTGTGTGTGTGTGTATGTGTGTGTTTTAATGCCTTTGTATCAGCTGGTTCTGAGGTTTCATAAGAGTCACTGCATGATATTCAGTTTGTTAAGAAAGCACTCCTCAATGCTTACTATTTCAGTATTTGTCTGTGATTGCGGATAATATATCTAGGGATAAGACCTCTGTGTGATGCCTGTGTCTTTCTGGACATTCACAGGAGCTCTTTTCCTAAGTGAGGGCTCATTGTCTCATTTTGAGCCCTTTGCTAAAGGATTAGCATTTGATTTCAGATCCCAGTCTGTCTCTTTCCTTTCAGGCCACCATGGGTAGACTTTTCCTATTTAAGAAGTGGAAGTAACAACTCCAACTGGTTGTTAACTTGAAGAACGGAAATTTGTTACATTTGACCAATAGGACAGAATGTTTAAAGGAGCTTATGGCTGAAGATGATGAAAATGACAGCCCATCTTTATTGAGTACTACATGTCTAAACTCAGTGTGACCTCACAACAACCTGAAGGTTAAATACAGTCTTATCCCTGTTCTTCAGAAGCGGCATTTGAAGTTAGAGAAGTTAAGTGACTTGGCCAAGTTCACACAGCCAGGAAGCGACTTGCCCCTGGATGCCCACAGGCTTAGGTCTAGGTTAAAATCCTAGTGGCACTGTTTGTAAATTGGGTGTCCTTCAGCAGGTCATTTGACCACTCTGAGACAGCTTCGCACGTGTGAAGTGGTAGTGATAAGTTCTATTTCAATAGACATAAACATTAACCAAGATAACTTAAGTAGCTGCTAATCGGGTACCTGACAAATGATATTCGCTTTGTAACAGGACCAGCCCCCTCTCCTCCCCTTCCCACAGTGCTTGGATCTCAGCCCTTTACCGCACCTTGGCTTCTGGGTCCCAGAAAGGCAATTCTATTTCTTACTGAAATGTGTGTGCTTCTCAGTTGTCTTGTTTCTCATCTGCTTGGCTTTGCCTCTCCTGTGTGCAGATGGCAACGCTCTGCTTCTACTCCTGAGGATTCCTGGACCAGAAATTTGAGTCTCCACAAGTTTTTCCCAAAGCTGTGAAGTGAGAACAGACTTCCTGTTATTTTCCCCTCTCTTTTCTATTTCCGCTGCCATGCTGGGCTTCTGCCCAGGTCAAAGCCACCGTCACCTTTCACTCTACCCTCGAGTTCACAATAGCACCCCACCCCCAGCAGTTTCTTATGGTTTTTAGTTTTCCCTTTCTATTCCTTTTGGCATTTTTGGAGCTGATTCTGGGAAGAAGAGGATTAACAGCTGTGCTAGTTCTGAATCTTGACTGGAAGCAAAACCTGAAAAGAAACCTCTCCTTTCCATCCTTTTTGGCTTTTGGCTCTCATATAACCCTTTCCAGGAGGCCTTAACCCTTCAAGAGCACACACACACATTCACACATGCATGTGCACATATACCGGGCTCCACCCAGGCATTGCCAAGGTTGTGGGAGAGGTGTGGTAGGAGGGCCCGGCAGACCCAGTCTTTGCCACACTCTGTCATGGACTCCTTCTGGGGTCACCAAAGCTTCCCATGATTCCTGATGTTCCCAAGGCTTTGATGTCCAGGTTTCTCTTTGATGCTGCAAGACGCCCCAGGATTCTTCTGATACCCTTCTTATTTTCCTAAGATAGTCTTTCATTCACTGAACACATATTGAAGGCTCACCAACTATTTTCTAAGGGCTAAGTGAAAAATTGAACTGGCTTCTGTTTCTCTGTCACAAGCCAAACCAAAAGATACCTGGGTATTATGCTTATTTTATAAGTACGCATGTGGGGCACAAGGGGACAGAAGTCAACTGAAACTAGAAGCCCTTAGGCAGCAAGGGTAGAGGTTGGAAACACCCTATCCGGGCAGTTCCCACAGCATCCCCCGCCTCAGGCAGGTCATTGTCAAACCTCCTCTGCATTCCGCTGAGACCAGAAGGGAAAGGCGCATTATGTGTTACCCACCAGGGAGACACCAAGAGCCTCCTGGGTAAGGTTGAAGAATTTGATGCTGTTCCTAACTTTTAAGGCAGTATAACATAATAATTACAAATATTGATTTGGGGAGGCCAATAACTCTGGGCTCAAATTCTCATCTTGTCACTTTGTAATGTTGCTGCTATGGTGAGACCCCATGGGGTCCCTGAATGGGCTCAGTCTGTCACATCAGGAGATAACGTTAACTTACTCTCTGAGCCCCAGGTCCTCCTCTGTAAAATGGGGATAATTATAATTACAGCACTTGTGTGTCAGGAAGCTTCGCTGGGTTGATGCGCATGAGCACCGAGCCTATGTGCCTGGCACAGGGTAAGCCCTCAGTGAGTACGGTCTGTGAGCTGGGATGGCCCTGGGGACCGATGTGAAGCTGCTCATGTTGGTACATGTGCTGCGGTCCCCAGGTGGTCAATACTAAGCAATTCTGTTCAACAAGTCAGCCTGTTGAGTGTCTTAGCCGCTGTATTTTATGGCTGTGAAGGGGATGATACTGGTGTGTGCTGTGGGGAGGGTGAGGGGTGACATCAGGGGTGCCTTCTCGTTATCCAGGTAAGGTTGCCTTTGTTACTGTTCATGCTGAAGACCTTTGGGAGCTCCAGTCAGGTATGTGATTGGGCCACAGAGAGCATTTGTGGAAGAGCATGGGCCGGATGCAAGGTGTTCTGCAGCTGTGGGGGCAGAATTAGTGTGCATTCTAGGTCAGGCAGAGACCCCACTCAGAGACCCCCTTAGGGTCTCACCAGAGCAACAACAGCTTTGCTAGAGGTTGCTGGTCTTTCAATCTGTAGCAGAGACTCTTAGCCCACTGGGTTCATTTTGGAAACCATAGTGGGGCTTCCCTGCTATTCAGTTTCTATCGAAATCTCCGCAGCTGGGGAAAGCTGTCTTCCATCCTCCTCAGTCCTAGCTTGGCGTGGGGGGATGGGAGTACAGGGAGGGGGTGTCTGTCCAAGGAGGGGAGCAGAGCTCAAACGTGGAGGAAGACTCCTAGCGGGTCTTCATGGGGCAGATCACTGAATCTCTGTAAGTGGGCTATGAGCTAGAACTGTCCCTCAGCCTGGACCATGGTGTGACAAAGCCGTCAAGGACAGCTACAAAGGGAATATTTTAAATCTCAAGGTTATTGTATAATTTAAAAAGTTTAATATTGTGTGTAATAAAAAAATCATATATTATTTAAATATCTCTTTTTTCCTATCAAGTATCTGGGGGAGGCAGAGAGAGAAAGAGACAAGAGAGAAAGAAGCAAAAATAGAGACAGAAGCAGAGAGAGAGAGAGCTTTCAAATATCATTTAATGCCTAAGTGTCACAGGCTTAAAAAATTCAACAGAATTCTCATGCATTCTTTCCCACAGAGGGCTATTCTTTAAACAATGACCTTTTAAAAAACTGAGGCAAACAAACAGCCCTGATACTGATGGCATGTGTCCTTTATCAGCACAGACATTCCATAGTTGACAGGATGAATTTTATCAGCCCAGATGGTCAGTATTTGGGGCAGTAGATTAGGGGCTCTAACACTCTTATGGACCACATTTGTTTGGGTCCAAATAGTTATTGAGTCACTATTTATTCTAAGATAAAACAGTTTAAGTAATTGTCATTTCCTGTGGTTGTAAAAATTCCATTTTGACCTAGCTGTCAAATTTTGTCTGAAGACTCTGGGGGGTGGGGGGGAGGGGAGGGTTGGAACACAGAGTAATTTATAGGAAAACATATCAATTACATTGCAGGTGCTGCTTCCCTATTTAAAGATCTCAAAGAATGGCTCAAAAGCTGATGTTTCATAGTGGAAAGGGCATGGTACTTGAAGACTGGAGACCTGGGTTCACGTCTTGGTGTCATTAATAAGTTTCCAGAGGGAGCAGTGAGGTCAGACAGAGAAATTTTTCCAGATAATAGAAAATGTTTGCAAGCCTGCTGGGGACAGCAACCCTATATATAAACAGAGGTAGTAAGAAGTCTGCTTACATTTGGACACTGAAAATTAAACTTTGCACACTGAAAATTGCCCAGTGAGAAACTGGTAAATCTTTGCAGTTAGTATTAAGCATGTTGGTACCAGCTCAGACTGGTGTGGAATCAGGTCAGCGTGGGTCAAGTTTCAGCAGTCCTGGGTGACAGAGAAGAATCTGCGTGGGCTCCTCACATAGAGGTAATTTCCTTAGCTGAGAGGTTCCCTAATTGCTGATGAAGAGGAATTGGAAGTTAATTATCTGAATTTTGCTTTATATAGTATGATTACAAAGTATTCTGTTCTCAGTCCTTTGCCTCCCTTCAAAGACTCAAATAGAGCAGCCCTTATGGTATTAAGAGAAAGGTAAACACCGTAAATAGTTGTCTCTAATTCCCTTCTTCTATTCTCTCTTGAATCCATTTTAATAACTCTTGCCAAGGTCCCCGGTGACCAATGCTAAATCCAACAGTCAGTTACCAGCTCTCACCCTCATTGATCTCAGAAGCATTTGACTCAGCTGGTCACCCCTTCCTTCCGGAAACACTCTCCTCCCTGGGCTCCCAGGGCACCCTATGCTCCCGGTTTTCCTATTGCCCCTGCACCTCCCCTCCCTGTCCTGTTCCTTGTTAGTGTTCTTTCCTGGCTTCTCCTCACCTTCCAGGCATTTTAACAGCAGGGAATGCTGGGGCTCAGGCAGTGACTCTTGTCTCTTCTTTGCCTATATTCATTCAGCCGTTGGTAATCTGATCTAACATTACGGCCTTAACAACCAATTCGAGACTGAACCAGAAGAAATCACCATTCTGTAGGTCACATGGTTGAATATCAGCACTTTCATGTGGTTGAATCTAATGACTCCCAAATGTTACTGCCCCTGAACTCCAGGTGCCTCCATCTACCTGTGTATTGGGTTTATATTCGCCTTGCATGTCTTAGAGGTATTACAAGCATGGTTTGACCCAAATCAAACTACTGATAACCCAATCAACTAGTACACCAGTTTAAGTGAGTTCAGTTTAGGGATTGTCTGTCCCTTGCAATGCAGGTGTCCTGACCAATCAATCAATCCTCTTCACTCCATAAGAGGAACAGAGGGCTGGGCAGCAGTGAGGTCTGGAGAGGGGGAGGGCCCCAACTCCACAAGACCCCAGGCTTCCTTCTCTGGCTCTTTCCTCCCCCTCAGCTTCTGGAGTCTCTTTCCCAAGGATGGTGTCAGAGGGGAGAAGGGTCGTGGACTCTGGTGGGAGGGCCAGGCCTGGGGTCTCAGGGTGGCGGTGATGGTGATCGTGGACGGAGCTGAACCAGGTGGGGCCTCAGCTGGCTTATCAAGTGCCTCACCGTTCCTAAAGGGACAGTTAGGGCCTAGAGAAGAAAACTCTCTGGATCCAAGATTAAATAGTTATCACTAAATGTTTCTTTTTCCTTTTTATCTCTTACTGGTTTAAATGCACAAAGCTCATATAGTGAAGAGCAAGTCTTTGTCTCACAATCACTGGATCCTCCCCTGGGTGATAGTGTCTGGCAGCGCCTCCCAGAGGAATTTTACACACGATCAAGTCAATATAAAAATCTGAGCGCATATGATTTCACACGAGTGGTTTCATGCTATAAACGCTATCCCATCCCTTACACTTAGTACTTAATATATTCTGGATATTATTCTACATAAGTACACATAGAGTGACCTTGTTCCTCTGAACAGTTTTAGAACATTCTAGCACAGAGGTAGTACGTGCTTAACCAGTTCCTGATTAATGGATATTTAGGTTGTTTCCAATCTTTTGCTATTACTAAAGCTTTCTTGAGTGTTCAAAAGATGATAGATCTTTGGGTCTATGTACAGGGCTATCTAGAGGGAAAATCTGGGAATTTTTTCCCCTTTAATTTTCCTATGGCCCTTCTCCGGATCATAAATACAGTCCCTCTCATTACCCAGAAAGCAGGCAATCAGGTGAAGGTCCTAGAGCGAGCGGAGAGTCCAGTCAGACTTGAGACTCAGATGCCTGGACCCCCAGTCCAGCGCTGACTCTGCCCAAGTCCCTGTGGCCTCTCTGGTTCACCAGAGAGGCAGATGACAGTTTCTGAGAGGGGGAAGGTACAGGGGTGGGACTGGGGGAGGAACTGTTGATAAGTGGGGTATCAAGGGAGAGGCCCAGCCAGGGTGTGTAGGACCTGGGGAAGGACAGGCTAATGACACAGAGCCCAGAAAGTAAATTCAGGTGTGAAAACAAAAGGCAGATAGCCATTTTTCTCTTTTTTCACTGTAACAGAACTTCCAGCTGGGGTCACATTCAGCCAGAACAAAAATTACATTTTCCAGTCCCCAACTTGACCAGGCTCTGACTCCAGGCCTATAAAGAGATGTATCATGTGACAGCCTCCGGTATCCCCTGTTAGAAGGCAGGGGTGCACCCACTGCCTCCTCTCCCCCATCCTGCCCTGCTTCTAGAGTGCAGATGCCCCCAGGGGCTGCAGGATACAGGCCACACCTTAGGGATGGTGGAGGGGGCAACTTTGAGGAGTGCAGCTCTCTTATAACCTGGACCTCAGGCCTCCGGACTTTTACTGAAGAGATTAAAAACTACTGTGCGTAAGCAGGGTTTCTTGACGAACTGAATCTTACTGATACAGAAGGCCAGCATGTTGAGTACAGTGAGTTCCGATGGTTATAACAGTGCATCTGTCCTGGGCTATCTGGGCACCCTTTGCTGGGTTGCCTGTCAGAGGCATAAATGGAATTATGATAGTGCTGTGGGTGGGCCTGAGCAGTCGGGAATCCTGGGTTCTCACCTGGCTGTGCTGACCCCAGTAAGTTATGTGGCTTTGTGCAAATAATTTCCTTTCCCTGCCTGTGTTTCCTCATCTGGAAAATGAAAAAGTTTGAACCAGAAAATCTCTAAGATCCCTTCCTGCTGTGATGATCGTAGCTCTGGGTCAGACACGTGCCCTGAATCTCTTTCCCTCCCCATCTCTGTCCTCCTAACTCCCCACGGCATCTCAGGGGTACCCACCTTGGGACCATGGTCATATTTTCATCTGTCTTCTCCACTAAGTTCTCTGAGGTCGGCTCCTTGCCTTCATATACGCTTGTCTAGTTTCTGGAACAGAGCCTTGGGTGTAACGAGTACACATTTGTCCAATAGGTAAACTGTGGATATAAGACATGTGTGGCTTAAGATAGAATGGAGACAGAGGTGTAGAGGAAGGTCTGACAGTGAAATCACGCTGCGGGTTCTGCTTCCCCTTGCATGGCTGGTCTGACAGCCCCGGCCTCCCAGGGTAGCGAGGTGGATCCCCTGGGTTCTGTGTAAAGGGGAAGTGTGGTAGTCAGGCCACTCTGTCCCTGGCCAGCTGGGGACCTCAGCACTTGGATGAACTTCCTGGAGCTTTCATTCTTTCCTTTTCTGAGGGAATATCATGCTGGCCCTTCAGGCTGCCTGCCTGGATGAAGCCCCAGCATACAGAGGGAGCGTAGGGGAAAGTCCATTTCCTTTCCTCCTGCATCCAAAGCGGACTTGCAACAGCCCGTCAGGGGAGGGCAAAGACCCAGGGTGGCTTGCTTTCTCCGGTGGAGAGTTAGGGTCTGAAGCTGTTTCTGCCTCTGTAAATGGGGATGAAAGCATTCACACAGCAGGGGGGTTGTGAGAGTTAGTAAAAACTGTGCACCCTGGCATACACCAGTAGGCTCTGTTCTTAGAGCTGTATTTTCTCCTCCCAACTACTCAGTGAGGTATCATCACCTCATCTCAGAGATGAGGAAACAAAGGCTTAGGAAGGTTAAGGCTCACCTGCAGCCACACAGCTGGAGCAACATCCGAGACACTGCACACCTCACCCTGCTCCCCAGCCCAGGCTAGCTCCCTTTGACCCTGTGGAAATGGGGAGGGAGAAGGGGACTGAGGAGCAGAGCCCTTCCTCCCTCTGTGCTGTGAGGAAGGTTTGCTTGCCTGCACCTGCTGCTAAGTTTGGTCTCTGTGGCTTAGTCGCCCTCAGTCACCCCTTCCTCTGAGGTCCTCTGGCCAGAGCCACTGCGGGGGATCCCACTGATTGCCCCGCTGGGCTGTTCCTAGCTGAGGGCTTCTCTCTCCATCCTTCCCAGTAGCTTAGCTCTCTCCCCTCTCACCCCTCCCACCCTGGAGCTTTGTGGACGTCCTAGTGCCGATGCCAAAAAAGGAAAGCACAGAGTGGGTGAGTGCCTTCCCCTGGGTTACACAGCGAGAAGGTCTCTGTGGGCAGTCAGCTCCTTGAGCAGAAGGGGGCAGAAAAGGGTAAAGACCCCAGTCCCAGAACGTTCCCACCCATCTTGGCTCCATCCATCTCAGAATCTCTCTGCTGCCTGAGGAAATGCCCACCTTGGTTTTGCAGGAGGGGCTGGATCTTTCTGGGCATCGGAACCTTCCTCCATGCCCCTTCCCCTCTCCCTCAGTGTCCCCAGCACCTCAGGCCCCACCACCACAGGGAGACTGCAACCTGCCTCCTGGTTTCTGCTCCACTCCGAGCCCCGCTAGGGGCTGCCATGCACATGACATCCCACCATCACTCCATGCGGTCAGCAATATTATTATCTTCATTCTAGGGATGAGGACGCTGAGGTCCAGAGAGGCCTAATACCATGCCCAAGGCCCTGCAAGGTGTGGAACAGGGCCTGAGACCATGGGGGAAGGATCTTAGATCCAAGCTGCTGGAGTGAAGCAGGCTCCTTCCTGAGTCCCATCCAGCCTGCTCTTCCCAGTTCCAGCTCCCTGTGCCTGCTGCATGGGCTGTGGGGAGGCTGTGGCTCTGGCTCTCTCTCTCTTTTCCAGCAGGACCGTAATCTCCTTCTCATTCTCTAGCACACTGCCCATGGGTTTCCACCCTGGAAAGGCCCTTATGCCTAAGCCCTTACCGGCCTCCTGTGGTTGATATGTGGACAGAGGTTTTGGGTGGGCACCTCCGTCTGAGTCACTGTCCCCCCACCGGCTCCCACTGACTCAGCCGTGGGTCCCTGTTGGTCTCCTTTGTCCTTACCTCCTGCCAAGGCGAGCTCCCCTGGTCCACTTCGACAGCCTCGCTCTTCCTTCGCCAGCTGCTCAGAGACTCTGAGAGAGGGCAGGGTTCAAGGCCAAGCAACCACTCTCTCTGAGCACCTCCTCAGAGCCAGTTACTGTGCTAAGTCCTTTCCATGCGTTATCTTATTTGACTCTAGCAACATCACTGTGTGTCCATGATCAGTTAGAACTGTTTCCTCTTAGAGGCTCAGGAAGTTAAGGAATTTGCCCCAGATCACATAAGCAGCAAGTGGTGGAGCAGGACTCAAACCCATGTCCTCTGACTCCAGATCCAAGGGTCTCATTCACATGGTCCTACGTGGTCATGAAGCAGACGGAAGGATAGACAGGAGTCCTTACAGCCGGGAGAGGCTGAACGTCCCTTTGCTCACTCAACTTTGGGGGAAAACATGAGCCCAAAATATAAACACTTTGAGTCCAAAAACTGCCCTGGGATTTCCTAGAGCCCCACGAGGGCCACCATGTGTGGGAGGGAGGTGAATCTTAGAGGTCCTGAGGCATTCTAAGAACTGCAGGCCACAAAGCCTGGGGCCCACAGGCTTCTCAGCACCTGGGAGGCCTGGACTGTGCAGTGGGGCTGGGCTGCTCAGTTCCTAGCAAACCTTCACCAAGGGCCTTCTGTGCTCATGCCCTTTGGCATCAAGGACCCCCAAGGAGTGGGGGTGACAGACATGGTGACAAGCATCAGCAGGACTGGGTAACAAGGGCTGGAATGGAGGCAGGCAAAGCAGGGACTCTGATAGCTTGGAGGAAGGCTCTGAAGAAGAGCAAGGGCCCATTGTCCCCAAATGCCACCAAATCTGGTGCAGTGTGATGGAAGGTCGCATGGGCATGGGTCCAGATCGAGACTCTGCTACTTCTGAGCTGGGGTATGTCCAGCAACTTTTCTCTGAGCCTTAGCTTTGCCATCTGTGAAGTGGGGATAATCATATCTACCTCCTTGGAGTGACTATTAAATAAGGGGCTGTTATAAAATGTCAAGAGGCATCAGATGCTACTCCCCTGCCTCCAGGTCCATCTTGCCCCGCCATCAAGCACGTATACACAGGAACACCAGCAGCCATGGGTGCTGTCAGAGTCAGTGGTCTGCTACTCACTTAAGTTAGACAGTATCTCTGGTCTGATCACCTTGGAGTTTAGGGAAAAGACTGAGGGTAATTTGGGGCCATTCCCATAGCTATACTTAAAAACAAAGCAAAACAAAACAAACCCCCCCCCAAAAATAGAAAAAGGTAAGTGTCACAAAGCCTCCTGATGAGGAATTGGGAAATTTAAATCCAAAAGATGCCACTTACCTCTCAAAACTGGCAGGCTTTACAGAGTAGGGCTGAGGACACGGATTCAGACCCAGACTGTCTAGGTCTGCTTCTGGGCCCCATAATCTACAAACTGAGTGAACCTGGACACATTCTCTACATTGCCCTGTGTCGGCCCTTATATTCTGCGGCTGTAGAATGGGGGTCCTAATAGTATTATCAGGATCTTCCTCCTGGAGAACCCACGAGGATAGAATGAGATCAGGTGTGCAGGGAGCGGAGCACACACCTTGGCACAGAGAAAGCTCTTGATAAATGTGAGCTGGTTCTGCTCTTGCTGCTTGGAAACCACGATCAAGCCTTGGAGCACGGCAGTGCTGGCAGGGACTCCAGGGCCTTCCAGATGCAAGGCTGTCACTGGGGGAGCTATGGGGTGTGTGGGTGCTCCAGGAGCCCCTCAGCAGACTCCAGGGAGAGAGAGGGGGCAGCCCACCCAGCCTCTGCTGCTGTCTCCATCTGTGTCATAGTTGGGGTTCCCCATTGTATGGATGCAAGTGTAGGGAGGAGAGAAGTTCTGCTGGTTTTCCAAAAGTTTGGAATCTACGGATTTGTCCTAGTGATTCCCAACTCCCTCCATCCCATGAGGACATTTTGATTGTCTTTCCCCATGGATCCCGTGATTTGAAGTTCGGTCTGCCCCCTGCATGTAGTTAGCAATGGTGTGTGAGCTTTGACATCTCATCAAGCCAGAATTTTGGAGAGACTCTTGACAACCCTTCACCCTTCAGAGTCTGAGAAGAGATGGGCCCTGGGACAGGACCTGGCTCTCCTCCACTCCTTGCCCTGTGGGGCACACCCCATCCCCTGAAACCTTCTGTGGCCCATGTAACTTTCATAGTCATCCCTTCTTCTGATCCCCACTTTAGCCTCAGAAAATAGAGGTGTGGAAGGGTGGTATGTGACCTGCTCAGTATCACTTGCCTGATAAATGGTTCTCAAAGTTCCAGCCTACTCAGGATTATCTATGTTCTGCATGAAAAGTCTCTTCTGTGTAGCTATCTGCTTTTTCTGGCAAAAGGGCCCTAACTCCTCTAAATATTAAACTCATTAATTTGTCCATTCATTTGTGGAGACAGCTATGCAAGAAGGTGATAGTTAACAAGAAGCACAGATGGAAGGATTGTGTTAAACCATAAATGGTCTGTGTTTGATTTCATTCATGACATTGCCATCCATGATCCCACAAAACAATGTATTCATACATACATGTAAACATAGTCCAAGGAATGCATGCTTAGAAACACAATGTCTGCAGTAAAACCTCAGATATAGGCTCTCCACAACATGTGTGCTCTTTGAGGCATAAACATGGAAGCAGGTACCACAGAGATGATACAGATACATCTATATGTATCCAGACACATACACATATACAATATGCAGGCGCATACATGTACACACTATTGAAATGAATTTTTTTTGAAGTCGGTTTGACCACCTCTGTCTTTGGAAAGAAGAAGGGATCTGGGATTTATAAAAAGGAAAGTCACACCCATAATAGCATACGATTGCATTTTTACTGTATTGGTGACTGGAGTGAGAGGAGTGGAATGATGTCGCCAGTGCTGAGGACCACTCTTTGTAAAACAGGTGTATTTATGCATTGCTACTAACAGAGTAAACTGTTACATTCCTTTTGGAAATATTTTTTCCTATATTTTCCAGTAGTCCTATTCATACCCTCTTTTCCTATAATTCCACTTCTAGAAATTTAATCTAAAGAAGAGCATCATGTGACAAAAATGTCACTTGTATAGAAAACTAGGCCCAACACTGTGATTGAG